CATACGGTTTATTACTATTATTATTTCCGATAAGGCGATAATCGTCAATAAATTATTTTCGTGTTAATATTTAGTATGCTATAGAATAAGGATATAAATCTATAATTGTATACACTTATTTAATTATTGAAAATGGAAGTGGAGCTGCCAATTTATAATTGTACATAAATTGTTAAAAGTTATAAAATATAGTTATAAGGAATTGTATATATTTTTTACCGATTAAATATAGTTGACTGTAAAAAAAATTACTTATAAATTTCCAATACATTAGTTATTCTTCATACACTTTCTCAAAACCCACGCTACGCCACTGAATTTTAATTTATTATAATTTAATGACTATCAATAATTTAAATTTAAATGTGAGTAATGCGCTTTTTAAAATATTGCTATGTATTTACATAGTAATCTCAATTTAAAAATAAAATAATGACACAATATTACAATTAAGTTCTATGAAGTTCGCTAAATAATATTTTTACTTTAATGTTTTGCTAGCTGTACTTGCACTGCTTCGCCAATGAAAATAATTGCAAATCTAATATCCTGTAAATTTTCATTTTTATTATTAATCATAATATGATCTATTGAATGAAGAAAACTTATAATGCCTGATGGGGCCAATAGAAAAAATTGATACTTATTAATATTGCTAATTTTTATCTTTTGATGAATTTAATCTATGAAGCACAAAAATTAGACTTCGTATCTTGACATTTTGAAAGTAATTAGGTATAAGTAGCTATATGTGGAGTAAACTATATAAATTATGTCAGTATTTTTATAATAATATAAAGATTTAATGTTTGTCTATCTTTATCAAACAATAAAAAATAAAAAATCCACCGGGAAATCAAATATTTTAATAAGTAATAATAATCTTTAATAATATATATCGTAGACAGATAAACCGTCTCCACTCAGAATCGTTTTTCGTATACAATGATATAATATCATTGGATTCAAATTTAATTCCATCCATTACAGTAAGTCAGTAACCCATTTGTAACCTACTGTACAGCAGAGCGACATCCGCTTTCCTGCTTTTTTTTTGTTTTTCCCGGCGGTTTTCTCGAGAAAATTAATTTGGAACGTAATAATTTTTTTAAAAATATGATTTTTGAGGATTTGTTATTACATGAGTATACAGGGTGATTCTTTTATCATTGAACACTCATTTTAAAAAGTATTTACTTTTTTCAAAATATTTTTTTACATAGTTTCAAGTTGTTAAAAACCAACGTTTTTATAAAAAATTATATTTTTTAATATTTTTTATCCTTATCGGTTTTTAAGTTTTTTACTTTTTTGAATGACAACATAGATTTTTAATTTCATAATCCAAAGCAGAATATTTTTCTAAGTATTTTGATTCATAAAAATCGAATTTAGGACGAGTAGTTTATGAGTTATAAGTATTTAAAGTTTAGATTGRCAGAGTARAGTGGTACGCGGTTGCCCCGCAAAATGTTTGTCCACTACTCCACTTGTCTAAAAGYTAYAACTTATAAGATATAATATCACTGTTCTATGATAATATCTTGGTCCGTGGTTATAACTGAATACTGATAACAGCCATTGTGATTTATAACGTCATATTAATATGTAACATGATTTTGTATTTTTGAATGAACAAYCCACGTTTTTTATCATTTAAGATTTAACAATTGTCGATTTATCCACTTTTTGAAAATTCTACAACCCGTTCCAAGTTTGATTTGTACGCTTTATTAATTATACTACCAATTCACCAATCACCAGTGTTATAATGGTGGTAGTTGACTACTCAAGTCACGACCGCATCCGTCGTAATAACTACAACCAGAATGATGATACAAGTCAACAGCTAGATCATGATGCCATTGTCGATATCGGTATAGCAAACTTTTGTCCTCGACTGCGTCAAGCTATTAGCGCTCTTTCACGTCATACAGTTGGTGAGTCATACACTACAATTTTATTTAGATAGTTTGGTAACTTACTTTAATATTGTTTCTATATATTTTCTAAGGTCCATTACAACAACGTGTGCAGTTATCAGACTTTCAGAGTTCTACCTTATCTTCTTTACCAACAGAAGATTTGAGTTCAAATGCACAGCTTCCTCGGAACGACAAGTTTGTCCTCGCATTACCATATTTATATGAAGACAATTTACCATTATCCAGACATAATTTTATGGTACGGTGGTTAATAATAGCACAGTGTGGCCATCCAGATAAAGCACCCGAAGTTATTTTACTAGAAACAGACTATTCATCCGTGAATTCAGGATATGGTGAAACATCATCACGTAGGACACTACAACGCCCTCAACAACTGCAACGCCGTCAGTATCAAACTAATCAAATTATTCAAGAACGATATTGGCAACAATATGTGGCCAGTGATGCATTTTACATTCAATGTTTAACCAAATGGGATAAAATAATTAATAACAGTTCATTTATATTGCAATACTGTTTGTTAGCAGATCAATTATATGAATGTTATGTTAATTTTCAGGTATGAATATTAAAAATACAGCATAGCCAAGGTTTATTCTAAGCATTTTTTTCAACTGCACAAAATGAGTAAATGACAGTTAAATGACTGTAATGTAAACGAGATAGCGGAGCGCTCCCGCTTGCATACCAACATCTTGCCAAATTGTAAACAACAACTAGAATGTTTCACTAAAACGTATGTACTTTTTGTCAATCACTGTTTAAACATTCTTCAATCTTAAAATTAAAATTAAGATGGCAATGAGAAATGATTGTTTTTAATTTAACTTAATAATAAATTAAATATATATTCAGATTTCTTATTGCATTAATAGTTATATTAGTACAGTGGGCAAAATATAGCTGTTCAAAAAAAATGGACATTATCAAATCCTCTAAATAAAAAGCAAATCTGAATTATCACAAATAAGTGAACAATTCTGGATACAATTTTAATTGTTTACTTAATTGTGGCTCATGAAATAAATATAAATGATAACAATAAAATATAAACTAATTAACGGTTTTATAATATAATATAAGTAGGTATTTTCATAAACTATGTTCAATGATTTTAACTATATTAATTGTGTGTACAATAAAGAAAAAATGTATACTGAACCCTACTTAAAGGTAAGAACAACTGGTTGAAAGTTACTTTTTTATTAAAATTTAATTTTTAAACAATTAGGTGAGTAGAAATATTTGATAATTTAAAAATAATTATAACATGCTTGTTAACTTAAATATTTCAAATAATCCATGAGATAACACATATAATGTTCTTACTTTTAAGTTGTATTTAAAGGTCACAAATTCGGTTCAATTAAACATAGATTTGTTTTATTGTACGATTGTAAGTATAGCATGTAACATACTTTTAAGTACATCACGACACTCAATGTATTATAATAATTTATAAATTACAGTTCCAATCTATAGAGGAAAACGATTTTATCTGAATGCATAATACAAAATAATATAAATTACACAAAACATATTTTACAAGTGTGTATCTAACTTTTTCAACTACTTGTGCAAAATATTTCCAAATGTGCCTTAGAATAAGCCTTGAGCTATAGACTCTAATATGTTTGATTTTTTTTAATAAATGTCTTGCTTATCTAGCTTTACAAACTCAAAATTTCATTGAAATCTACGCCAACAATGTTGCATCCACCTCCACATCTGGTTCAAGCATATACTCAATACAAACAACTAACTAAATTATCAAAACTAAACATGGCAGAAGTAGGTAATGTGACAAACGATATCAGTGTTGAGCTTTTTATCGATTTGGACAATGGCAATAATTATGATGATCGCCGTAATCAAATAACTTGGTCTGCTACAGTACGCATGCGTTCTATAATCAGTTTGGTTTCATCYAAACAAACAGCATCAACAACTACTGAGGCTACTGACTGTGCGGATAACACCAAAATATTTTCACAATTGGCTTCAGTAACTGGAATCTTTCCCCCAACTGCTAATAAAAATGCCACCAAACCAGGTGATGCCAAAGTYCCTTTAAATGAAAAGTTTGTAGTAAGAATTCTAAGTTCGAAATTATGCCGTACYACACCACAAGGAGGCATGATGGMAATTATGTTAAATGCCATAACAGGTCGATGTTTTGACACGGCAATGATAGATTATGGTGAGTAATTAATATATTTATAAGTATTACTATAATGATTTACTTTTATATATGTATAGTGTAGATTATAAAATATATCTGATTAGTGATTAGGATACACAATTTTTAATTCAATTCTTAGAATTGATAGGTTTCCTCGTCTCAAAAAAAACCCCTGTGTATGGTATTGCACTCAATACTAGTCTTATATATTTAAAATAATTTATACATTTTCTCATTTTTAAATATAATCACAAACATAATTTGTACTAGTCAYCTTGAACATCAGTGACAACAAGCAATAAATTCCTGGGTAGTCCTTCAGCCTTATCAACATCTTTGATCAGTATTCGAACTATGGTTCCAATATTTATAACTTATGGCCAGTTGTACCGTTTATGGTTAAACTTCGATTATGCTTAATCAGCTGATTACAGATATTTAACCGTGCAAATTCGGCCGATTAAACTCCGGTTAACTTTAATCAGAGATGGTACAACTAGCCCTTATYGTTTCCTATTTGATGCTTATATCAATTTTTTATCACAAGCACTTAATATTTTTTACTGTTATTGATTAATTTATTAATTAACAACATAATTACTACTAATTTTTTAAATGTTTAATAATAACATCAATAAATCATATATCATGATCTATGTTACCTTCAGAATAAATAGACTGTTATAATAGTTTCTATGTTTTCTTCACTATTAAAATCCTAAAAACAACTTTTATATATATTTATAAGACAGAAATCTTATTTTTATACATAAATTCATTTCACATCATTCTCATTCCAAATAAACCAATTTATTTTTGCTTCTTTTGGCCTTTTTTGATTTTTTCATTTATACTAGCTGTGGCATTAGTATATTATGTTTATGATGCTATAGTATTAAAAAAAATGTAATTTAATCAATCAGAAAATCCGAAATACGCAGTATGGACTAAATGGTTATATTGCATAGTTTTCTATATATTATGTATAAAAAACATTCCGTCAGACAATAGAGTACTATTAWACTACTGAAAATCTTGCCAAATATATGGTGTGAATTCTTTTTTTAATTTCAATCAATTTTTCAATTTTTTTTATTCAATTTTACAGCTAATTCATGTTAATTTTGGTCATGCTTCTTTTTGGTTTTTTTAAAGTAAATATGCTTCATTTTTGCTTTTTTAAAACATTTTGTCCTTTTTTTGTATTTTTATTATGCTTTAAAATCCAAGCCCTACTAAATGGTTACACATAGTCAAGAACATTCAATGTATTATCTTACACTTTTATTAAAACAATCTTATTTTAAAAATTATTTTGCTATCTCGTTTAAATTTTTACAAATTTTAGTTTTCATCCGACACAAAATAAAAATTTATGAACATACAAGTTTTGAAAATTTGATGCCTATAGATTCTTTGTTTTTTTACAGTTACATATGTACGCCGAGTGCAACAAGCCGCAGTTCAAGCTTATAATTATGACCCCAGCAATAGTCAAGAAGATAAACAAACATCTGATGCTGATGATAACAATTCAATTAAATTACTTCTTGAAGCACTTCACGAAGTGTTTTGTGATTATCCTTCGAATGGTAATTGCCTATTAGATTATCAAATAAACAATAATGAAACATCTTCTAAGGATACCACAAGTTATTTTCGTTTTTTGTTGATTGATGATGAAATGGTCACTGAAAATACACAACTTAAATACATTCTAACTATCGAGTATAACAAGGAAATCTCTGAAAAATTACAAACTTCAGCAGATTTGGAAAATACTAATCAATCTATGGTTACAAAATCAGTTCCTGTTGTAGCATTGCGTTCTGTTTATGATGATGAAAACGTTGATAATTACTTGAATATTGATATTGATGACTTAATTAAAACAGATAACCTTGTGAAATATTATAGTGAGTTGGCCAACATTATTAAAATTACAACTAAAAATGGCATGCGGAAATTACGTAARGATGTGTTAACACCAGTGTTGACTCGATATAATAAACAATGGGCCCCTACTGATCCATATTTTGTAGCTTCGTCAAGCACCCCACCTCCTTATCCGGCAATGCTATAAAATTTAATTTAATAAATTTATAAATACTATTTATAAAAATTATGAAATTTTTTTTAAAATTAAGTTTTGAATACACTTTAATGTGTTAAAATCTAATTAAGTACAAATTGCATTYTGTGCTAAGATAATACTATGGATTTTTTGTTTTTTGATGTAATATCATGAGATTATATTAAATTTGTCCAGTATTTGTTTATGAATATATACAAGACTACAGAAAAACTACCCTTTTATTATGCAAAAGTTTCATTTCATTGTGTAAAAAAATCTTTTTGCATTATTATATAACTTTTGAACTATTACATTTTAATACTATTAGGTTAGATATTTTCATAAATTGTTTAATTTAAGTATTTCAAGACTTAATATTATAATTTAAAATATATGTTAATTGTATATTTATGATTTATTCAAAATAAATATGTATGTTTACATTTTAAAATATTTATTATTTTAATACTTAAAGCCTGAAAATTTAATTTAAAGGTTTATAATACCAAAGTTTGTTTAGATTAAGAGTTATTCACCAAAGTCGTATAATGATAACACAAATTATTTTGAGTCAAATTTGAATTTTTAAATTTAACAATCATTACAAACATCAACCCAAGTTTAACTAACTGATTTTACTTGTTTGTTGTTTTGTTCATATATTCATTAATATAGATAATTTGAATAATTTATATGGCAAGTCATATTTTTTGTTAGAAATGGAGCCAATGTTATAATGAGTTATATTATACTTTATACBACGATGTACGATAATATTAAAAATGTCAAATCAGTCACTRAGGTCTAATGGTCTTAAATTGTATGATGTAAACAAACATTTTAAAAACAAAACAACTCCTTAGAATACAATTATCACTATAATGTTAAAAATATTGAGGAACAAAAAATGTTCTTTATTTARGAATAAAGAAAGAAACTAGTTCCTTTTTTAAGCCAGAGATGTAGTTTCTTCTTAACAAAATTTATGTTTAATAATTCCTTTTTTAAGGAACTTTCTAAGCACTGCCTATTTATTTATAATTTTAGATTTTGAATGGAGAGATAGATGTATTTTATAAATTATAATGTATGTTATATTTTTTGAGTATGCCTACATAAATAATGCAATTTACAACTATTATGATGRATTTTAATAGAAAAAGTTATTTAGTTGATACTTTGTATTTTAAAGAAATTAAAATTGAAAACTCAAAGGAGTTTTCAAATTGTTAATCAGGAAAATAAAAATTAAATTAAGAAAAAACTTAAAATTGTTTTATGAATACTAATGCTGTAGATAGTTACATAAAATGATTTCTTAATATTTACACCTACATTTTGAAGCTGAATGGGGGATTCAGGGGGCCCCCTTTCACCAAAAATGTTGTTTTTTATTAGATTATACGTTATTATAGGATATTGTATTTTGCAAAATGTTTAAAATGTATTATGATGTTTTTTTTTTAAATTGATTATTTAGTTGGATATACATAAATTGWTGTAGATACTTACGTATCATAGATACTGCAGAATAATTCTGATCGTCTGCCATTGCCTTTGATCAATAACTACGCAAACAATAATTATTAATAGTTATGTCTTATGACTTATGAAGTTATGACTGTATACTCTTGATACCTACATATGTTTAATGTTGATACTGTCTGTATCATATAAGTCTCATTTGTAGGGATCAAAATTTCCGAAAAAAAAAGGTTAGAGAAAAATTAAAAAAAAATTGGGAAAATTTCGTTTCATTTAAAATTTCCGGAAAAAATTATTTAATTTTCTAAAGTACTGAAAAATTAATGTTAAGTAGAAACAATCTAATAAAGTAATAAATAATTATAGTTGATAATCATATTACATAAATATTATATACAATAGCTTAGTCTGTAATGGATGAGTATTGAGGATTTTTACCTACTTGATTTATAAATAATTTTAATTTGTAATATTTTCTATTAACTATTTATAATTTACTATGTAATTATTAATATTATTTAATTTTTACCTACTCACTAAGTTTAAAAATATAAAAACTAACAAATAATTACTAGTTAGTAAGCCAGCAGTCACTGTAATATAAACCTATCAGCCAGTCACTAGGTATATAAGACCATATTAGTTATTATAAATATAAATAGATTTTAGGTACATAACATATCATTTTTAAATATTTAAACTTTCCAAATTATTCATATTTAGTATTTACCAAAAAATGTATGTGATACTATTTACTATTTAGTATTTATTACTTAGTAAAAATATTAAAATATGTAACTAAGTTATTTTTAGAACAAATATTAAAATATTTGTATTMATATTTGATTAATAACTGTATTGGCAAATATGACAGGTTTCTTCATTTATTTTTTAACATGGTTTTTTTATACTTGGATTATTTTAATTTTTAAGCGTAAATATACAATTTTTAATTTTCCAAAAATTTGTTGTTTTTTTTTTAATTCTCCGAAAATTTCAGTTTTTTTCGGAAATATATTATTCCAATTTTTCCAGGTTTTCCTAGGCTCTGGAAAAAAAAAACAGTTTTTTCTTAAAATTTCCCGAAATTTTCTCGTAATTTGATCCCTACTTATTTGGACACTTCGGCCTATTCGATTTTGCTGTTATTTATAATTATAATTATAATATTATTACAACTCAGATGTTGACTGCATACCTATTTTTTCCCCACAATCAGAATCACACCCAAGTATGATTTAAATTCAATCCTTGATGTCTAGATTAATAGTACCTATGTACATTTTATTTTGCATATCTTACAGCTTCTAAATTGTTGAGCATATTATATATTGTTAAATGTAAGTATAAATATTGAAAACTGTCCATATTATTATCATCGTTAATTTTTTATACTTACTTTAAAAAAAACCATTGCTAATATTATTGTGTTTATTTCGGTCTTCGGATCATTCAACTAGTGTATTTCTCAATTTTTGAATATCTAGGTATTTTTTTTATATCACTATTTTATTTTTGAGGGTAAGACAGTTATGACCAAAAATTTATAACRTGTAATGTAACTATCATAATAATGACATTACAGAATTGTGAARCCTACATTTTTAATCACACCAGAATAGCCATAAAATATTGTATTAGCTAAGTCAGTTTGACATTTGAAAAAAGTGGAACGAGAAATTTAAATTTCACTCCTTTATTGCAAAATCGATAGATTTGTGTTGTGAATGGGAACAAACAAGTATTTTAACTCATTTAATTAAATAGGGTTGAGTTGGATGTTTGACGCAAATACGGTATTTAAATGTACCTACAAACACGCTTCCTCCACTCGACTTCTTACTCCTAC